TTAGTAAAAAAAAAAGCAGCAACAACAACAACAAATAAACGTACACGTTCAGAAAGATACTGAGATAAAGGCAGATGGACAAAAAAAAAATAAAAGAAAGATCAAGGGTGAGACAAAGAGGACAACTGAGACATCAACAAAAGGAAAGAAAAAACAAAACACATTCAAATCTAAATCGTGAGAACAGACCATACTTTTACACAACGACATGAACTATTAACTGCTGACATGTTTATATTGTTTACTCAAGAGGAACTGAAGGGGTCAGAAAAATAAAAGGTCAAAATGACATTTTGTAGAGTGTTCAGTATGGCAACGTACGTCAGGGGAGTCTGCACAACAAAGCATTTGAATGAAATGACTGAACGGCTTGAAATCAGAGTGGTGGGTTTTACAAATTACCCAAACTCGATTTTTGATTAGTTTGAATTTCTACTCCTTCCATGTACCAGTATTAAGACCCTTGGGGAGAGGGGGGGTATCTGATTCAGTACAGTTGATTATTATTCACATGGCTGTTGTCAGTTGTACCGTATCTCGAAGAACACAAAGAGAATTGATCCTTGCCTGACGTGCAGCCAGGTGCCATCTTGGAAGGTACTCTCTGTCGTATTTTTTATATACCTACTGACCAAACAGGCGATAGTTTATACAGTACCACGCTTGGCTTGAAAACGACCAGTCTTAGGCGGATATTTTCGTCATCAAATCTTCTTGTCAGGAGAAATCTGCAAGACTCTCTTGCTTATCATTTAGAATTGAATCTTTTTGTTTAAAATCAAAATTAGTTAACTTTGATTTCATTATCAAGAGAATCCGATTTGATGGCGTATACCAAAGGAATCCGATTTGATGTCAAACACAAACATGTTGTTGGGAATTGTTTATATGTGATTACTATTAACAATTACTTTTTCATGTGCAGACGCCGTTTTGCTGGTAGGACCTGTTTGACTTTGACATAAAGAAATAATAATTGCTCATGTCATTAGCTAAAGCATAATATGAGAGTGGGTGGCAAAAGTATCAAAGCCAGTAGCTCCACAAACCATTCGACCGATGGGCTTGACCTATACACTTACTTGAGCTTTCGGTTGGTAATTGTATGGCTTGCTCAAGAGAGTCTTGACGGACTCTGTGTCACAGCGAAATCCCTAATGGACACGGGAGGTAAACAGAGAACCAGTGAGAGAGAAAGAGAGAGGGGGAGAGAGACAGATACACAGAGACAAGGAGAGAAAGACATGGAGCGATCCCGAGAGAGACCAATAGATGTACACTCGGAAGCACACATACTCTCTCTCTCTCTCACACACACACACACAC